TATCTGGAAAGGTTTGAATTACCTGACAGGAAAATGCAAGAATGCACACTCATCAATTTTCGAGTCCAGAAAATCGAATAACGTGGAACAACCCATGATTTTAATGAAGAATCACTTTTAATACTGAAATTGACAGATAGTAAAAACCGATTTTAGGTCAATTCCATGAAAGATATCACAGTACTTCATTAATTATTCTGTAAACGCATAATTTATATTCCACTTTCAAATTCCAATATCTGCCAATAAATTTCCCAGAGCCATTTCCATTCCCAAATTCCTAGTGGAATTTACTTACTGTGAATGATGAAATGTTCAGTTTATTAATGATGAAAACAACTATATTTGTGTCGTTTATCAGTTATTATTATCTCCTGCACACACCAAAAGGGTTACTTGTGAATTTGTCAGTGGATATCATGTCACGTATATCAATTGCACAGCAATTAACTGTTTCACCGAAAATGTTGTTTAAAAAATATAAAATATGTTTTTCCGTTAACCAGCTGTCGCACCCCTACGAATGACAACTCTCAGAAGTCGAAACTTGTGCAAGCTGAAGACTAACGAGGTCTTACTTTTCAACGTGTGATTTCTAATGCGGATTGGACGGTATCCACTGAAAATCCATCGTTCAGCCTGGGGCTTGAATCACCGACTCACACATCGGTCAAAGCACCCACGTCGAACCGCCTAGTTACCGACCTATGTGCCGGCAAACATGTACATTATACAATTCGAATTCATGATAAATTCAGTGTTAGAGACATGATTTCATTCAATTACTGGTAGAAGCGAAGCGGTACAGGAATACTTAACTTGCAAGCAGTATTATTTTTTGTGATATGATTGTGAAGAAAAAAAATAGTGTAATTACAAGGCTTATTTTCATTTAATATTGTTATTATCATTTATAATGAAACATAACCTTGAAAAACTGCAAAGTAAATGAACTGATTGAATGCACAATCTCCAGAAGGTTCTAGTATTGATTTTTTTAAAGAAAAAATCAGATAAAAAGGAGGTTAAGGGTTATACATTCGACCGATTCGAAGAACAATAGTGTCTAGAACTAACTAAAGGATCATTAACGAGATGAGTTGAAAAATAACTTTGGTCATGAAATTTTGTGGATTATGTAATTTACAACACATTCTCTTGAAAATCAATGAAATTTTTCTAGGAAACTAACCTAATCATCTATTTTTTTCAACACAAACAACATATTGATAAGTTATCTACACATTTACCGTTAGGTACACCTGAACTGAGATATTAAGTGCATCTGAACTTTTCCAGATAACTACTCGAACTGATGTGGTCAATAATTTTCATATAATGATACTTGTATGATAAGGAATTTGTAAATGAAATAATATCACCTACACGTCATCTTGATTTCAAACAGGTTGATGCCTGGCTTCCTTACCCTTTGAACTGATGTTTGCCAGAAGGACAAACGGGTCATAACTGATGGTGGGTGTTGATGGTATGGCGGCATGAGTGTCCTCAGACATCAGTACTGCCCTTCACGGTGTACCCCTACCTGGCTGGGGTGAGTTGGATGAAAAAGTTGTTCATCTTTCAACGGAAGATATAGGAGCTTCATTCGACAGAGTGTCGGGGCCTTCTATATCGGGAGGGGTCGTCTACAGTATAATACATAGCTTCCCTGACTGATGGGTTTTCATGAGTTTCTGCACCATCGCAAACTCTCTGATTTCTCGACTGAATGGACTGACGAATGGAAGGCAGCTGCAAATCTCTGCGGATAGCTTCATTCCGCACGAACCAAGGAGCATTCATAATCATCCTCATTAAATTGTTTTGCAATACCTCCAGAATGGAGATATTATATTTCGCCGCTTGTCCCCAGACGCCTGAAGCATACATAATGACAGGTTTGAACATCGTATTATAGATGGTAATCTTGTTCTAGAGAATCATTTTAGATTTTCTGTTGATCAGAGGGTAAAGACGTGCTATCCGACCCTCGATCTTCGATTTGACGCTCGTTATGTGCGGGTTCCAAGTGAGTCCACGGTCTATTAAAAGGCCGAGGTACTTTACCCGTGCTTGCCAGTCAATCTCCCTTCCAGAGATTCTCACTTTTCTGGCCGGAGAAGATTTCAGTCTTCCCACGGTTATTGCCTGAGTCTTTGCCGGGTTCACTCGGATCTTCCAATCAAGGTACCAGCGCTCGAGGTCGTCCAATGCACGTTGCATATAGACGACGCCGAGCTCTCGACCCACGGAAGATGAGAGGAGAGCCGTGTCATCGGCGTACAGAGATATCTTCATACGCTCGGGCCTCGGAAGGTCACTGGTGTAAAGTGAGTACAACGTCGGAGAGAGCACGGCCCCCTGTGGCACTCCAGCAAGGATCTTTCTGTTATCAGACAGTGATCCCTCTACTGTGACCTGAAATGTCCTGTCTTTCAGGAAAGACCAGATCTACATGACGAGGCCCCGAGGCAGGTCGAACGCGTTTAATTTGTGCAGAAGACATTCGTGCCTTCGATATGTCAAGTAGCACAATGTGTACTTTTTTGTTTGAGTTGAGCTCTTTGATGGTGTTTTCGACCAGTCTTAGAGCCTGTAACTTAGTGGAGTGATCTCTCCTGAAGCCAAATTGTTCATCAGGCAGAACATTTCGGTCGTCAACTTCTTCGCTGAGCCTTTGGAGAACAACTCTTTCAGCCAGCTTAGCCGCCGAAGAGAGTAGACTGATCGGGCTGTGGGAACAGCGGATTCTGACCCTGTTTTGGATCATGACAACGATCGCATGCTTCCACCTTTTGGGGAAGTGTCTGGGGGCCAACGAACTTTTTATGATGTTTAGTAAGCATTCAACGCAATTGTCCGGGAGCCTCTTCAACAACTTGTTAGTTATTGAGTCGACCCCCGGTGCTTTCTTAGCCTTTGCGGCCCTGATGTATCCCTTCAGTTCTTCCACAGAAGCTGGACGGATATTGTCGTCATCTTCTTCCCTGAGGATTCGGTGAACCCGGTCTTCCAACAGCATATCGCGGCCGATGTCGTCGTCGTCGTCAACGTTAAGCTGAAACTGACGTCCCATTGAGTCAGCAAAGGCTAACGCTTTGTCGGCGGGGGAGTAGCACACTCCGCGCTCTCCGTGAATGGGTGAGAGAGCAGTCTTCTTTCCCTTGAGCCTGCGAGTGACTCGCCAAAGCTCGTCACTCCCAGGTTCAAGGATTCTAAAAGCTCTTCCCACCTTTCGTTTCGATGATCAATGATGGCCTGCTTGACTTGGTTGGCCATCCTATTTGCCGCGATATCATCCCCTGGGATAAGGGTTCGCTGATAGAGCCTTCTCAGGCGATTTCTCTCTCGTATCAAGGCTTTGATACAAGGAGGAAACTCATTATAGCTCCTCAGCGGACATTCCTGCCTGAAGGGGGTCGCTCGAAACGCATCATTCATGGAAAGCTCGAAACGCTCAACAGCCGCGTCGAGTTTGTCAGGAGAGTCAAGTACCTCAGGAGGGGCGCGCATCTCTCCGAGTTGGGCTGTGAAGACATCCCAGTCCGTCTTAGATTTCATGCAGTGATCAGGGGAAGGAAGCTCATCGCCCAATACCAGGACTACTGGGTCATGATCAGAATCCAGTTCCAACAGGACGTAAATTTCGCTAGTCAGAGAGACATTTCTTAAAAGCGCGATGTCTAGTATGTCAGGCCTGGTCTGCCCGCGATAGTGCGTAGGCTCATCTGGTCCCAGCACTAGATATTCATGTCTGTCAACGTGCGCATGGAGCGCTTGGCCGTTTCGATTAGTGGCTCTGCTCCATGGTCTGTGCTTGGCGTTAAAGTCACCAGCAGCAATTGTCGGAGTGTTGCTTCCCATCAGCAGTTCATCCAGTGATTCAGGGCGTAATCGATTGTTCGGGGGATTGTAGACCGAGATTATTCTGTGACAACCCCTACTCAGTCGAATTTCGACACCTACAGCCTCAGTTCCGTGTAAACGGGCACTGTCAATGCCGTATTGGACACATTGAAGGGATTGTTTGACAAAAATGCCAACTCCCCCTCCAGCACGTCCAACACGTTCTCTGTGAATCTGTAATTTAGAATGACAATAGAATCGTTTCTCAGATGTGTCTCCTGCAAGTCAAGTTTCTTAGAACGAATGCCTGAAATAATATCTTGTTGAATCATCGATTTTAATATGTAGGCATAGATTGACACCCTAATTTTATTCGCAATAAAACGTCAAATTCAAATGACACCCTGATATTGAACAAAGTATGATAAATCATCAGAATTGTTGAGATGATGACTTATTGGTTGTTCAAACTTTGCACCAATATTTCGAATATGAACTGTATCAGAAATAAATTGGGACATAATTCAGGTGCCAAATCATTAAATAAAGCTGTGGTAAAATTTAACGCCACGAGAAAAAATTATACAGAGTTAAGATTACATGAAAAGATGAATTTTGAGAAACGCTTTATAGCTGGCTAGAAATAGAGAATGTACGATGTATGAGAAATGTTACAGGCTGTTGAATATAAATTTTGTTAAACGTGGGAAACATATTACAAAATTTATGAACTTAGGGTGCTTGAGAACCTATGATATATTGAATTGGAATGAAAATATTTGTTTTTGACTAGTCATCTGTATACGAATGACGATTGTGAAAAGTCGTAAAACGTGAGAGCCTAAGATCAACAAGGTCTTACTTTCTCATGTGCGATTCCTAACACGGATCAGGCGCTACACAGTGAACACCTTTCATCTCGATGTATTCATTCAACAGTGGTTAATTCAATGAATGTAAATTCTACCACATACCCCAAAGAATGAGGTATCATAAGGTACAATACAAATTCCACATCAAGTCACTTTAGTATACGAACACCTTTGATACCTGAGTAACAATGATGAAAATGAGATATTCAAAATTTTAACATCACGTCAGTAAATGAAATGGGAGACAGAAATGAAAACATTTGTATATAACAATATATTTATTTGTAAATAGTTGTATTTTCATATTTATATATTTACTTACACATTTCAAAAATATATTAAAAGCTTATTACTTTGAAGCAATAAAGACACTAATAACCATTCAATTAATAGAAATGTTAATAAATAAACAGAAAAACCTTCAACTAAACAATATATAATGATATATTGAGCAAAGGTGTGAACATTATCATATTCATAAATTTAATTCAATGTAGCAAAGGCCAAAGGTACTAAACATTTCTCAATACAATTGTGGTGTACTTTCTTCACTCTTCGTTACTCTTGGATATAACTGAAAAATAATAAAATGTTGATTAAAATTAACACAATGGAATTATAAAAAACGTCATAATGAGAATAAAAAAAAATATTGAAGAATCATCAACAGGACATGAGGTTAATTAAATCAAAGCAAAGGAGGTGTTTTTATAAAAGGTGAAGTAGGAAACCAAAGGAAGAGGAAGTTGATGAGATCATAACTGGTAGTATCAATGGCACAGTGCCAGAGACTGTTAGTTGGTATGAATAATGAAAATATGATGGTTATTATTGAAATGAAATGGAATATCTCAAAAAAGCAGAAAGTATTAATAATATAACAATTGTCTCTCAAGAAAAGGGTTTTAGTTCTACTTTTAGTACACGAAACTTCACGGGCAACCACTTCTCAATCCACTACTAACAAACAGTAGTTAACGAAGCAGTACACAACATTCAAAACTATCATTCCTTGGGAAGAAATGAAAACTCCAACAACTCCCAAATAACCGGTCAAAAGTTTTCCCTCATATTGGATGGATCGTATTTGGCTTTTCTGTTGATCTCAGAGGACCTAACCACTTTTTGCTCAAGGGCAGTTGGGCTCAAATATCATTAGTGGGATCTATGATAGATTGAAAGAGCGCTCATCTGTTATAAGATCACGAATACATTATTGGGTTCTGATTTTATCTGAGCCATATCAAGTCATATAAAATGATTTCAACTTCATCAAAACTTTGAAAGCAGATCCACTATCATATGCAGACCTCATGGTTTCCAGACTATATTTCTATTGAATGCGCAAAATAAAATTCCCTTCGTTCTTCAAAGTTCTCATTGAAAAATTCAACAATTCTTCAGACACATTATACATATATTAGAGACCCTCCCAAATCACATAATCATCCAGTTCAACTGCTTTCTTTTGAATCCTGTCATCTATACATCATTCAAACTCACTCAGAGACAACCCAATAAACCCAATGAATTCGAACACAAAATCGGTCTTCTGCCGGATATGCCGGATAATCATCGTTTTATGCTGAAAAGCGTATTCAATACTCAATTTCATTCTTAATGAATGTTCAATATATTCACCAATCATTTTTCAACAATAATGAAGTGTGTTGACATATTGATGAATGTTTTTGGTATAATTTCGTTGCGAGCACCTCCATGATTTGAGAAAATGGACTGCGCTTGTATAACGTACACTTTGTATTTCACATATCCCCTTAAAAATCTAAAGGGGTTATGTGAGGCGATCTAGCGGGTCAGTTATACACCATTTTGGATAATTGTCATATAACCACTTTCGAACAAGCCTGTCATAAATAGGAGGCGCTTCATCTTGCTGAAACGTAACATCAACTGAAATCTAATTTGGATTGGTCAATTATTCGAATGGCTGATAGGCAAACGTACCTACTCCCCTAGAATGGCCCGCTAGGTCACTAGATATTACCAAGGGGTACGTGAAATCTAAAGTGTGCATTACACAATGGTAGTCTATTCAGAACCTGTAGACAGAATAGAAGATGCTTGCAACGAAATGACCACAGAAATATTTCATAAGGCAGAAATAAATTGTAAGGAAGTGAGTTCTGAATGACACTTTATCGAAATTATGATATTTCTCGTGTGCTTGCAGATTCCTAAAAATGATATAAAAGTGCAGGCAGATCCGATTTCCACTGATGTATAAATATATGAAAGACCTGCCAAACGAGGTATCACCAGATCTCCTTTTCCAGTTGAAAAAAAAATGGTTGCGCCCTGTTGTTGATGTAGTGTAACCACACTATCGTTTTTGTAATTAAACAGTCTTCTTTTTTCCGTAAACTTTCTTCATTCTTGATATCTTGTCTCATTTAAAAGTTAAGTGGGAGGAAGGACTTTTTACATTCGCTGTAATTTTGTACTGTCAAAAAAACTTATTGGTATATTAATATCTGATGAGCATAATCATACACATGATGAAAACAGTGAAAGTGTCTATATGTGTGTGACATTGGATAACTGTCTTTTGGAGTACTTTTTGAGATGTTTTTTATTGGTTTTTTCACTTGTTGTGGCATTATACTCACCCCTAGAAGATTTCGAGGAACATAACCTTCTTTGTCGCCAATCCGTGACCACCACCATTCCCTCTCATTTTCATCCCCTTTTCTCAAAACTGTTAGCTGCTGACCTTCCTTGAAAGTCAATTCATCAGATTGTTGTGCCGTATAATCAAACACAGCATATACAATTCCTCCCGAAAGAATACCTAATTTCTCTTGTACACCTGAAAAAATATATTTTATTTTCATCAGTCTGATAATTTTGAGTTTTCATTCTAAGTGATTTATAAGTGAAACAAAAATTATTCATTGGTAGTCACTAGAGCTCCATCCATCAAAAAAATGGTCAAACTTTCTCCTGTTTCATTTCTTACTACAATCGATATGATGACAAATAAAATGAATTAGAAGCCTTTCACTATTTTAGTCCATGATAGCCACTTATATCATGTAAAATGTAACCGTCAGCTGCACGAATCAACACGAGTAGAATACTATACTTTTTTATGATATATTAGTCCATTTCTGAAATAAATTCATTCGTCATAGAAATTACGAATGAGAGTAATTTCTAACCACTTTCAAGTGACAAATTATTCCAAAATATCAATTTTGTCGCCACATTACAAATTTCTGATAGGTATACACTTGCTTTACTTTAAGAGTTCACGTTTCTCTTTACAACTGCATGTTTCGAAAATTCCAAAATTATTATAAATGATGCCGATTTGGCAATTTTATGTAGATACATAATCAATTTACATATCAAAGAGTAATATGTTCCTATACTTAGGTAAATTCATTTAACTATATTAAAAGAAATTCATAAACGAGGATTTCGATAGAATAAAAATGATAGGAAAATATTGATGGAACGCCAGTTTATTCGACTACTTATAGAATTGTTAAAAAAAATCTGAAAAAATCTGTTAGTGAAGGGCAATGATTTTTTTCCGAACAATGGAAATCTCGTTGTGAACGAGCATTAGGTTAGGTTAGGTTGAGGACGATATCATTTCAAAGGAACCCATGATAGACACCATCGTGGTGATCTGATTTTAGAGAATGAGGATAGCGACACTGCATCGGAACAGGAATATGGGAATTACATTCTAGAGGATGGGTATTGTAATATATTAGAAATCAAAACACTTCCTATCGAAAACCATGTATCCATAGTAGGCGAAAAATAATATAACGCTGAGAAAATAAAACACATCACCAGTCATGTGTCTTGAAAACAAAGCAGAAGACATTGAGAGAAATTATGGTATATATTTCAATCTTAGAGAATCAATCAATAGAGAATAGCATGGAAGCTGAAATGTGTGAATTGTCAAAACATATTAACATAGTAGGAGTATTATTTTGTAGAGGGCTGAATACTATATAATTTTCCGTACTGATGAGTATCTATGAAAACGGGAATTGTTCTGAAACTTTCATGACCTTATTCTATTTCAAGCTCTCAGTGTCTGGGAAAAGTCAAACCACATTTATATCACTGAATTGAAATTGAAATTGATTCTAGAATTATTCCATTTCTGAGCTATGATTATGAATGGAGTGGGCATCATTTCTAAAGAGAATATTGAATTCGTAGAATACCACTTACTATACAAATATTCTGAGCAGCCATCAAATCCTTCTTCATCTTCTTCGCATTTCTCGGCCGCCGTTTCGTGATCACTCAACGTCGTAGCAAAAATACATGCTCCGTGCTCCACGAGGAACTTCACCATCGTCAAATTGTTGCAACTTGCCGCACAGTGAAGAGGAGTCCAGCCGTCACTGTCCTGCGCGTTAACGTCACATCCGAATTCCACTAAGAACTTAACTATCTCTAAATGACCAGCGCAGATGGCGTTGTGGAGCGCCGTTATGCCCTCGTCGTTGGCAGCGCTGGGATTGGTAACCTGCGTCGCCGTTTTCTTCACCAACTCCAGCTCGCCTTCCAGACTGGCGTCCAACAGCAGAGCTAAGGGATCGAAGCTCACCCTGCGGGACAGGTTCGATTTTCCCGTTTGCTTCAGATTCCCTTTCTTGCATCGACGTATTACGCCATCAAAATATTTATCTTCTTTGTCTGTCTCTTCCACTGACGATTTATCGGTCTCGTCTCTTTCGGGCGGACTTTCCGGAGCTTTGTCCAGGTTTTGTAGTTCTGGAAAATGGAAAGTTGGTGGCATTTCTATTCTTCTATTCGAAAGGCCATTTAGTTTGGAGTAGGAGCTAATCGATCTTAGTTTGGGCTGTTCGCAAAGCGGTTGCTTTTTTATTGTTAGTGGCTTGGCTTTGATTATCATTTCTGGATTAGAATTGTTATTCGGGGTATTTGAAGCTGCAGGTGATGAGGAGCCTGAAAATCGTGAAATTGGGTAATTATTCATCAACAGTCGTTTCACAAATAGAATAAGATCTGGTAAGAGAGATCAAAATATGTCTGAAGACTGTGTCTGAGAGATACATACGTGAAAGAAAATAAATATTTGGAAATTAAATTTTGAAACATTCATCTCTCCCAACTACCTACACCGTAGGTTATGGTAAATGCCTGCCGGATAACAAACACTTCCCCAGCTAATACCGCGCTGGATATTGAGTTAATATCCACAGTGGTATTAGCCGAGTAAGTAGTTGTTTTTCGGCAGGCATTTACAGGTAGGTAGTTGGATGAATGTTTCGAATTTTCATTTCGAAATAGACACGTTTTCTCGTATCGACTGAACCTGATACGCAAAAAACCACTTCTATCACACCACTGAAGATAACTGCTGTAGTTGCAGTTGAAATGTATGGAGATTGTAATTAAAGAAGACCACGGAAAAAACCGGAAACAAACCAAAACATGTAAAGAATATGTAGAATTGAAACCATTACCATATTTATGAGTATTCGGCGTCTTCCCCAAATTTTTAACTTCATCAGGAGGATCTGTGAGAGGCAGAGGCGGAGGCACGGTTTCTTCATTCAATACCTGCGTCTGTCTGGGGGGTGGTTTTATTGCCGGTTTCGGAGGCAAGGCTGGCTTAGGAAATCTATCTACAACTTCAGGAGTATTGTTCAGAGGTGTACTGGATGACTGTGGAGGAGATAAAACTAGGGATTGAGGAGATTGAATTTGGGGTTGATGTGTTTGATGAGGAATCGAGATGAGGTTTTTGCTTGTGGTTATCGTCTGCGGTTCGACAGGTTGCACTTTGATAGATGATGTTTGATATACGTTGGATAGGACTCCAGAGTGATGTATCGATGTTGGCGCTACACTGCTGATGGGTTTCTGTGAAAACAAAATTATAATATTGAATCAATTCGATTTGGCAGTAAAATTGTTCATATCGAGAAATATTTTTCATCTTACACTTCAACCAAAAATATTCCATACTCTGAACGACGGTTCCTCATCGTATCTTTGGTATTTTGGTAACATTGCATAATCAGCAATTATTTTGGAGTGATGGATCAATGTACCCCAATCACCTTATTTTCTTTTAATCCTTGCAACTTGCAACAAACTACCAACGGATGCACCCTTTGACAACCGATATTCAAACTACATACACCAACAAATACTCGCACAACTAGGCAGACATCCCGGACACGTTATCCCTGACCCAATCTGTCCCCAAAGGACCCGAAACACCCTCATTGAACTCCATATCCATATCTTCCAGAACATCAACTCCTCCTTCGGTCCAGTCGCAATCCCCCTGGACATTCAAAAAGCCTTTTACAAGTTCTGACACGCAGGTCTAATCTGGAAACTTATTCAAATTTACCTTCCATACCACTTCATCAGATTAGTCGTCTCCTACCTGGCCAACCGCGTTGAAGTCGGTGATGTCCTATTCTCTCCCCTCACACCCAAATCCGATGTCCCCCAGGCCTCTATCCTAGCTCCTTTCCTTTCCCTAATCTATGTACACGAAGCCCTCACCACGCAAAACATTCTCCAGTATGCAGATGACACAATCCTATACTTCTCTGCCCCAACCACCCGAATCCTACAAATCCAATCCCAAACAATGATCAATCACTTCGAGCACTGGTACAACAGGTGGCGCATCAAAATGAATCCCACAAAAACCCAGACACCCTAATACCTCAATCCACCCCAAACTGAATACCGATGACTTGAACCTAGGATTTTTGGGAGAGAACCTTCAACTCCAAGACTCGATGACATTTTTAGGGGTTACTTCCACTGTAAAACCGACCTGAGAGAAACTCTGGATCGAGTACGGAAAAGAGCATATCCCCTAAAATAGTGGACAGCACACATCCTGGAATACACTGAAGCCTTACGCCTTAACACCCTTGGCCTAACTCAACCTGAACCCGCAAAATCCGACCACCGCAATGGACCCCGACCACCCGAACCACCTAAACCAAGGATAAACACAGACTAATTTGAATAGAAATACTTTAATATAGATGAGATAGATAAGAATTATTTGTAAACTAACCCAACCCTGAAGAGGTGAGCCTATAGCAGCCCCCCACACCACCAATATAACTAAAAACTAATGCAACCCAACAGTAAATAATCGTCTTGAACTTGACTATTTCAAATTCAACGGGATTGCACATCGATACAAACATTTCTCAAAGTTATATGGAAATTGTTCTAAGTAAACTATTTTTGGGAGGAACGTCCTCAAACTTGTTTCTTGAAGTGATTTTGACCAAATCAAAGCTTCAAATGACTTTTAGTCTCACCTGATATGTAGTTGTGGTACCACTACTGCTGGTAGAATTAGGATATGTATTCTCTTTCGTATTTCTCTGAATTACCTCATCGTTTCCATTCATTAAATTATCCTTATTATCACTAATTTTCCTCACTAGCAGATCGTGTTGGTTCAACGGCGTGGCTATATTTTTGTTAACTATGCTCAAAGGGGCACTATGTACAGTCATATGTGTCGATTGCTTATTGAAATTTCCATTTACATTAGTAGATATATGAGTATTTGATTCTTCTTTGTTGTCGATACTATTGACAGGTTCACTCTTTGCCACCCTTCCCGTCAACAGGTTAACGGTGAACTTGGTGTTGTAGGGAAGCGTTTGATACTTTGGGTCGTTTTTGGATACTGTGAAATCCTTGAGAACGTCGTTATTCTCATCGGGTTTCGGCGGAAAAGTTTTCTTCGACGGATCTTGGGTGTCGTGACTGCTTTTGGGGGAATCGGCGTCTTTTTTGATATGGTGGTTGGGCTGATATAAGTGGTGATATGTTGAGTTCTGAAAACAAAATTTAATTTATTCTGTGAAGGAGATAAAAAGAGGAGGAGATATGAATTATAGCAAAAAAAGTTTTGTTAGTTTCTTCTGCAAAAAATGACCCAGAATATTGATTGTAGTCAAGCATGAAATTATGTGGATTATTCAACTGTACCATCACCTCTGGATGGTAACTTCTTTAATGTAGCAGAGGACATTGATGTGTTAATGGTATTGTTGTATTCAGCAATTAATGATGAAGAAACTTTTTTCAAACTAGTCATAAACAACAAGTTCATCCGCTTTTTATGACAAAAAACTATTTTATTTTCTTTAATAGTTATGTGAATACAGCAGCTACCGATATTTGCTTAATTACAAGTAAATATTTTAATATAATTGAAAATTATCAATATTTACGAATATGAGTTGCGAGTGCAATACTTTGACCTAATTGAGAAGTCTGCTAATCGCGTGTTCTCCCATAATCGTATGTGTAAAGGTCCCTCGTTCCACATATTGTTGACATACTCACCTCCTGCTGGTTATTTGCGTTCTTAATTTGGTGGCTCGGTTGGATAGGGACGTGATTGTAGGGTTCCACAGCGGCAATGTTCCCTCTGGATAATCCATTGGCTTGATTGTTTTGTTGCTGTTTCCTCGCGAACGCTTGGTTATTTTGTTCTGAATTGCCCGTTAACCTGCAGGGAAGAGATGCGATTTGAATCGAGAATTAATGGTGGACATAACCTTGAGAAGAATTACAAAACGATGACTACTGCAGAGGTATCACAATCAAGATGAAAGTATATATTCAATAAAGAGAAGACAAATGTTTTCATCAAGTCGATAATAAGATTTGAATATGAGTGAGATGATTGTTTAAAAATAGGTGAAATGCATTTATGATGAACTAACTAGCAATGTTGCAAGTCATATGAATTTTATATATAGGAGAAATTTGTTAAAACAAACCAAAAACTAACAGGGTTGGGTTTCAATATTGTCCACTGTCATAGTTTGAGTTTTGCTCAACATTTCATCGTTATAAATGGTTGACATTACAGGGTGTGCAGAGACCCTCTATTTCTACTCAAATTTATATTTGAATATCTGCTGCAGTTAGGTAATTGCTTCTAGTGGATTAATCAGGAAGTGGAATTGAGTAGTTGATTTAAGTTGATTGTAGAGCCTCCGATTGATCATGATATCACACGATCTTGAGTCACGTCATAGGATCTTCATCTTCTAGACGTTAACTTCTGCCCTTGAGATCGTTAATGTGTCATTACCTTGAATGCAAGGTATTTTTGATGATGCGATTGAAGTTCAGTATGGAGTATGTTATCATCTGGTACTATACTTTGAGTTTGTGATTGTATGACCTTGAAAGTTCAAACGTGAATGTTTTCCATGTGACCTCTGAAGAAACGTTTAACCTTCGTGTCTTGACTGAGAGTATAGACAACGTCGAATTTTTACCGCGATTGGAGATTCCTCTTAAATACAGAAATGAATTTGCAGCTTGACAAGGCCTAACCTTGATTTATGTAGCAATATGCATGTGGTGTGGAACTACCTCGATGATTCACGACCTTCAAACGTGATTATGCTTCAGGTATACCTATACTTCTTAAATTTGTTTGAGGGTTTCGATCATGGGAGTAATTTTTCTCTTCTGTACATTTCATTCTTCTCGACTCTCATGAAATTATTAAGTATATTCCTATAATTTTTGAATTGTTTGAAGTTTTCAGTCACGTGAGTTATTTTACTCTTCCATACATTCCTTTCTTATCATTTATTGAAATAGGTAATCCAAGGGTTCCCCTTGATCTGTTTCTTTTTCATTCGAAACTTTAAACGACCTAACTAATCTCACTCTGAAGTTTCGTACCGTAGTTAGAAAACACCCTGTATATGTGTGATCGTTTCCTTACATTACATAACGCCGACCCATGTCATTACCTGGATCCTAATAAAAGCAAAAAAACCTACCTAACTAATTGATGATAAGCCGCCTTGTGAGAGGCGGCGCTGATTTGATTCGCTAGTTGTTGATTCAGCATTCGCTTTTTGTGCAATCTTTCCTGCAACTCGGATATCCGCTTGTCGATGGCGCTCATCTCCTCCTGACGGGCGGTCAAGGCCTCCCGCTGCTGGTGTAATCTTTGATTTTGCTGCTCGTTCAGTTTGTTACGATACTGAAAACCACCAAAAACAATTAAATGCAAGTTATGATATTGGCAGATCCACGATTATGCCTGAAGGAATCGACGATTCAAGAAAAAAAATCATACATAATAATAATAATAATCGTCTTTATTATTTCTACATTAGGACGGATACAAGAAATATCAGATTTTGAGGTTCATGTGTGAACCTCAAACATTCTTTCAATATTCTTTCACTTAACCCCTAAACAAACCTGTGTGATAATACAAAGAAAAAAATATTGTCCTGAACACTTAAAAACCATTATTATAAAATTTGATATTCAAGAAGATGTCCAAATCGAGTCATAATTGCAAAAGTTATGTCAAACATTTGTTGGAATATATACTATGAAAATGCTGTTCAGTTGATTCGACTAAAACTTCAGATAACTTCATCAAAACCTATTCAAGTAAAACATTATTGTGAGATTTGTCAAAGGCGTGTTCATACTCAGTATATGAGTGTGAGTATGCCACTATTGTTCCTCCCAGATGGTTATTCATACCAATCTTCCTCTATTCGCTAAGTTTTTATTTACAAATTTATTTAGATTATCTGGTGATGACGTCACCTAGTTGGCAAAATACCTAGACAAGTTTTACAGTTTCAGATCTGGGAACACTATTCGATTCCAAGGATTGCATTTACCGGATACCGGAGAATCTAAAGAGGCCATTGAAAATTCGCATTGCGGAGCACAAGAAACATACACATCGAGGAGAAACCAGCAAATCCAGAATAGCAGAGCATGTTTGAACTCATCAACATAATATCAAATGGGCTCAGGCTGAAATCATTTACAAAGAGAAACACTGGTTTAGGAGAAAATTCAAAAAAGTCGCATATATGTCGTCCAACAATGCATTTAGCCAAGCTAGCGTAGAGATACGTAACATATGGAAACCTCTAATCAAGCGGAACACGACCAACTTCCGCCAAACGTCAGCTCCCGCTAAAAACCAATGAAGCGGTGAGAGAGAAGAGGGAATAGGTGAAAGCAGTCGAATAACTTATAAATAGTCAGATCTCGAAGGAATAAGTCCATTTATAATCCCAAGTGGATACTAACAATCGAAACGTCGTGAAGTAATTTCGTTTGGGATCTTTTAATTTTATATTCGTAATTTTCATTCCTTTTTAATGATTTTTCTTTAATTTTTCAGCTCGTGTTAATAGTTCAATTTTTTTAGTTTAAGGTTGTTGCTTGTATGTTATTTCATTTTAATTTCAGTTCTTTGCTTAATAAAATTGTTTTTTCAGCTAATCTTTTTAATTTTGTTGATGATAATGATTGACTCATTTCCATAACGAATGTTTTTAATAGAAACTGAATACAGAAACATGTTTTTTATGTAATTCAGTTTTCAGAAACATGTTTTTTATGTAATTCAGTTTTCATATAAGAAATTTTTTTTCGAGAGGGCCTTTTATTTCAGTTTGTGCCTGAAAGTAACGTCTCCACATGATCTATAAATTTTTATATGAAGGTAATTTTTTTAATTCGATTGCTTTCTTCTTTTTTTAGAAGATTCTCACTGGTTATAGGTATATAGATATAGAAAGCTTAAACTTTTCTATCCTAAAAATTTCCTAAAAATATACTCGTACCACTTTCAATTTGAATATTATCATCATTTTTGTTATTTTTACTTCTTGGGAAATTATGAACTTGAATAATTGTTCGTTATTCTCAAATAATGACAAAAGAGAAAATGTCATTTGAAATGTCATTAACGCTTCGATTCACATCTGCAAAATCTTGGAATACATCAAATCTATAGTATTCAAATCAACTCTGAAAGAGGGAAATTTGTCAGTATCGTACTTAAAGGTATTCATGCTGAATTTTTTTTTAAAGAAGGAAAGAAAGATGTATCAAGATGGAGTAGTAGAAAGCCAAAAACTCTCTTTCCCAAAAATTAATCACTCCTAAAAATATAGCCCCTTCAATTCAAATAAGATTCCTCTTGGCTGGGATCAAATCAAATAGGTGAATGAATGTCATTACGATGTCATCGATGACATAAGCAGATCAAGCTTATTCCGTGACATTAAAAATCGTAATTCATGAATGAATTGTGTGTATGTTCTATAATGTTATACACTTTGGTACTAAAGAGCCTTAGGGCAGGTGTCTTAAGGCGAAACATCGATGTATACCAGTGAGGATGACAGTGTTCCATGTAAGTGCAATTTATTACCATTCATTTAAAGTAGAACTCATGTGAATGATATCTGATTTTTATTCCACAACGAATGTTTGAAATAAAAACTGGGTAGAGAAAAGTATCTTCTGTATAATTCAGTGTTCATATAGGAGTATTTGTTTCGAAAGGATTTTTTTCTTTCGTGTAATTCAATGTTTATATAAAAGTAGCTCTTTCAGGAGGACTTTCTTTCAGTTTGTGTTTAAAAGTTACTTCTTTGCATGATCTACACATCCATGTATAAAGTTACTTATTTTCAAATTGATTACTCCCTTCCTTTCTTTGGAAGATTCCCTCATCCTTTTATTTGTATCAAGATGGAGTACTATTCAACAGAGTTATTATTAGTTTCCACTTGAAAACTCTGAAAAATTCCCTTAGTGAAAAAAATGAAAAGTCATAAAAATCATCAAGTCTAAAATTCATCAAAATCAATAATAATCCTTATGATCATAAGTCAAAGAGAGTTTGTAAGCAACAACCGACTTGTTGGAAAAAACAGTATTACAAAATATAATGACATTGGTCTTAAAAACGTTACAGTGATAATTTTGTAAATACACATTTCAAATGTTTTTTAATGCTAATATTGCCGGTGAAAATGAAACAAAACATGAATTTTCATCGTATTTCTCAAATTTCAAAAGAGGCGATGAAATTTCCAAATCTGAGTTATCGATGAACCCCCAAATACTAACAGACCTGTATGTATTTTTCAATTTTTCCACGAATATCAAATACCGTGGAGATTAGAAAGGCTTATTAATGAAACCCAACGTGAATATTTCAGTATTACAATAAGACTTCCTGAATAACGCTTCGTGAATTCCCTTTGTAGCTCTTCAAAACCCGCATTAGCGAGAGTTTCTCTGAATTCATATCCGTTGCATAATCATAAAACTGAAGAATAACGTAGCGTTTCCGCATGCATAATCCGCTGCGATGAAACAATGTTATTTAATTAAATAGATCTGAGATTCTTCCTTGAGAGCATTTATTAATTTTGATGAAAACCCTCTCATCTTTCCATTTGCCTTAAGGAGCAAAAAAATAATCACCACAGAGTACGATTATTTTCATTTACTGTTATTTCTAGACTAGAATGACTTATCTTTCGAGCAGATATAAATGAATTATAATAGCAAATTGTCTGACATATTTATCTAGCCGCACACAAGTAGTAAAAACAAAAACAATGTCAAGCTTACGTAATATACAATGTGGTGTTCCGCAAGGATCAGTCTTAGGTCCAATTTTGTTTTTACTATATGTCAATGACTTGATGATGCTTGACATTTCAGGAAGTTTTACACAATTCGCCGATGATACCACCATACTATGGCATAAAGATAAGGAAGCCGATCTTCAACAGGTCATCAATTCAGATATAATAAAAGTTAAAGAGTGGTGCGACTCAAAACTTTTATTCTTCAATATATTAAAAACCAAGATAGTGTCCTTCAAATGCGCAGTATCTGATATTTGTATCAACCACCAGATCATTGAAAACAGTGTGTTTTCTAAATTTTTAGGACTATACATTGACAACGGTCTCAAATTTAATGAACATGTCAAAAACCTGAATGAAAAATTGTCCTCTGGTTGTTATGCTGTAAAAATTGCTACAAACGAACTAGGTTACACAATCGCAAAGTCAGTATACTACTCCTTGATAGAGTCACATTTGCTATAGGGTATCCCATTCTGGGGAGTGTGCAGTGGAAATGTTCTTCAAAGTGTTTTTGTTTTACAAAAAAGAGCCCTGAGATACGTCTGCAAATTGACATTTCGCGATTCGTGTAGAGTTCACTTCAAGCAACATAACCTTCTCACGGTAGTGTGTATATTTATACTTGAAACAGTGTGTCTCATTTATAAACATAAACAAAATTCCATTACAGATACTAGATATGCCACCCGCCAAAGTAACCATATCAAACTACCTTTACATATTCCACTCTAGTTAAGGACTCCATTATATACAGGCTGATTCACGGTGGATGGCACATTAGACGTTTCTGGTGAACCAGACAACGGATCACTTTGAAAATTCAATGGAGGGCATATTCGGACATTCTCTAGCCAACTAAAATATTTTCGACAATGCGGTGTTGCCGCTTCTGTTAGAAAGCAGTAGCAACTTTGATTTTTCAAATGGAACACTCTGTATATAATATTATTTTTGGAATTTCCAACAATTGCCCGACAACTTTTCTTGATATTTCCCTATACCTATCTGTTACCGTTTTCGAAATAAAAATTAATTTCAATTTTTTTCTTCGAAAATCATGACTTCTAAAAATGCCGATATCTTTTAGTTAAGAAGTACTATGATATCGAAATTTGGTTTGGAGTTAGGTGATACTTGGACACTTCCCACACGTCAGCCTAATCTCCGTTACTTCAATACAGGGTGGTAAAAAAATACAGTTTTTTCGTTTGCTTGAAAAAGTTGCTGAAATTTGATTATTTTAAATGGAACACCCTGTATATTATTGAAAATTCGGAAAGCTGCTGAAATTTGCTTTCTTTCTATGCATATCATACCTATACCTAACTAGTCAAGTTTCGGACTTATGAACATTTATTTGTGAAAATGTCCCTTCAGAATGGTATTTCCATTCGGTATTTGGTAAGCAGGCCATGATTACTATTTGACAGTAGCGTTGTGACATTCTCCTAATAATATCGACATTTTCGTCACTTCAGAAGTTGCAAATACCTTCAAAACGATGGAACAAAACTATTCAAACGAAGTTCTTATGAATTTGTTTATTATTTTTGGACAGTGTGACAAAATTATCAGCAGAACATGTAGAAAGTTCAATGAAATGTATCCGAATCTACCGCCAATGAACCTCAAAAAATTTATACGAATTCAGAACAATTTCAATGCATTTGGATCAACTTTAAAAGCACCAAGAAACTTGAAATTGGAAATATTGATATGAATAATTATAAAAAAGTAAAACAACTGACTCCAACTGACCTCGCTGTAAATTTAGTTCGGGAGCGAGTCTATAGAAGAGATGGATGTCGAGTTTACGACTCCAACTGACCTCCCTGTGAATTTACTTCAGGAACGAGAGCTTCTCAACTTCCCAACTCCTGATCCAATAACTGAACCTGAAAGAAAGGTTTGGTGGTGCAGCCAGGAAACGACTGAGTCGTCTCCTCAAGAGCGGGGTACCTTCTTGAGCGGCGTACGCAGAATCTATCTCAGGTGGAGGAACAAACCCCCATGAGCAGGTTAGCAAACGTTTGCGCTCGAGTAATGAGTCACCAAAACCAGAGGCGAAAAAGCCCTGTATCAAGGTGGTAATCTTGCACCTTGACTATCCGACTACCTCATTAAACGATGAAATAGCAGAGCATATACTTTGTGCTCGCCCCGCTGGGGACCGAATCAGGTTTTTAGAGTTCCGCAGAGCCGTATTCTCACCATCTGACCTGAAAGACCACTCACCATAGAAACTAATCGGCTTCGATGGGTTTATTTGGTCGAGTATGAATAGGTGTGGGCCACAATAAACCCTTGCGGGTTGCGGTGGAGGGTCGAATAGTCCCACTCACGTTAGACCTAACCTAACCTAACCTTCGTCTGATATACTGCGGCAAATAACACTAACGGCGATGCGGCACATTTTTCATTCTAAGATATAATATATAATAATTTCAACTTGAACGAAGAAGATGTCACTTTGTCAGGAAAAATAACTGAAAATGTTGACACATTGTCAAAGCAAGCTGAACTGCTTTTAGTTCTTTAATACTTGACACTGGTAACGTGACTTCTTGCAAGGTGGATACTTGACAAGACATTGAGAATCTGGCGCTCATGAAACTGATCAACATTGCCAAAAGTCCTAAGCTATTGAAGGGGTTATGAACACTTATACTTTACAAGTCACAATACTAAAAGACTGGAAAGCCTAACGAAACCTAATCTCATCCTCTGCATCAACTATAATCTGTATATTTTTGGAAAAATTACTTTTTTGCATGATCTACACATCAATGTATAGATTAACTTCTTTCAAAATTGATTGCTTCATTCCTTTCTTTGGAAGATTCCCACAATTTTTGTATCAAGATGGAGTAGTAGAAACCCAAAAATTTCATTTCCAAAAAAAATTACTCCTAAAAATATATCCCTTTCAATTTAATTTGTATATTTATATGAATGTCTTCTAATATCTTCACCTACCATTAATTCCCTCCTCAGCTTATCCAACTCCAGGGCAGAAGGTGGAGGAGGATCCCTCGTAGACCTTCCACGTCTCAATTCCTCCAACTGCTTCGTCAGCTCCTCCACTTTGGCCACAGCCAGAGATAATTCCTTTTCCTTTTCATTAAAGAGTGCTCGGATCGAGTCAAGGTCACTTGCTGAAAAAAACATCGATATTAGATTCGTTTGGACATGTTTCACGATCTAATGTCTATGGTAATATTTATTCGATGAATTCTAGAATATTTCAGAAGATATAATACAATGACTGATGAAATAAAGAAATATTTGGAAAAACTCTAGCTGAAAGGGTTTTTATTGATTGCAATCTTCTTGGTACCCAACTAGTGCATCATTTGAAGAGCAACGATGGCGAAATTATTCTTATTTTTGAAATACCCACAAAGAATTTTCCAGTTTTCACGACCATTCGCTTTCTCGCAATCTTAATAAAAGGGTTGTACTACTTATAGCATCATCAACTAATTTCTCCTGAATGACACCCCATTCCAAGACGTGTATCCGAAAAAAATGATGTATGACTCTGGGCCCAAAAAGTTTTACTAACAAACAAACTCTGTAATCAAACGTTTACGCCACCCCCCGTCCAACCTGTCCCTTCCAGGAAGGTGGACAGGTCACTTTGAGACATCTCCTTTATATCGTCAGGTGTAGGCCAAGACACGCCAGTAATATAACTGCAAGAGTTCTAGCTCATTCCTTATGGGAAAACACGTGGAAATTTAGAGCAGGTCCATTCTGGCATTCTGACTTCACACGGAAGGGGCAAAGGTCAGCGCCTCGTCTCTGCCAGACGTCCATTAAGTGTAAACTAAGCCTTAGCCTTCATAGCCCACTTCAGACCACCTCCACTTCTCCACTTTTACCGTCATTTAGTCGACCAATCAGATACCGCGCGTACAGCGGGAAATTCAAATCGTAGTAGATGAACAAGGCGTATTCTGGCTCAAACGGGAGTGGGGGAAACTTCATCGGAATCAACGCAGGATGGAACGAGTATTGTAGCGATTTAAGCCTGGAACTCCGCCTTGTTCATCTACTACGATTTGAATTTCCCGCTGTATGCGCGGTATCTGATTGGTCGACTAAATGACGGTAAAAGTGGAGAAGTGGAGGTGGTCTGAAGTGGGCTGTGAAGGCTAAGGCTTAATTTACGTATAATGGACGTCTGGCAGAGACGAGGCGCTGACCTTTGCCCCTTCCGTGTGAAGTGGGCCTGAGGTCCAAAAAAACGCCAGAATGGACCTGCTCTAAATTTGCACGTGTTTTCCCATAAGGAATGAGCTAGAACTTTTGAAGCTATATTACTCACGCTGAACACACACTATCTTATTGGCGATAACTCCGAATACTCGCATATGACATGCCTGACAGTGTCATCTTCCTGTTCACACATCCGACATAGAGGTGTGTCCACTAGCCCCATATTATGGAGGTGTTTCCTTAGTTGACAGTGGCCAGTCAGAAATCCTACTGTTAAGCGTAGATGTTTCCTGGTCATCGCCAGATATTTCTTCGGCGTCAGCTTCCTAGGGTCGCCCACAGTGATCCTGTCAAGATTGCATCCTTTGATTCCATCCCATCTCTTTAGGGATTGAGCATGGGTGTAACATTTGGCTAGTTCCGCAATTGTCGAAGTCATCAGGCCGTAGGTGCCACTGGGTCCTAAAATTCTTAGTCCCACCACTTCTTTGGCTGAAGAGTCGGAAATGCGATTGCCTTCACTCCTCTCGTGCCCTATAACCCACCTCAGGATAATGTTATTATCTATCGAGGCTTTGGCTAAATCTTGGTGGCAGTCTAGTACTAGTCCTAAGGTAACTCGTTGTCTGTTCAAGGCTAATAGAGCTTGTTATGTTTTTGCCAGAAATTCCTCTTCTGGTTATTTCTTTTATGGCGACTGAGATACCAGCCAGTTCTGTTTGGACCACGCTGGTATTTTTCCTCACTTAATCCTGAGGCTTAGTGATCTGGAGTACACTACACACCCTCAACCTTCTTTGTTTTTTGCGCCATCTGTATATATGCGTATTGCATTTGTAGCATCTGACTACGTATTCTATTTTATTTGTATTTGTATTAAACACAAACCTGGGTTCAATTGCATCACTGATTGGCTGCAGCAGAGGTTGCGCAATAAGCGCTTCTCGCCATAGGCTCAGCCTGAATTGACCCATTCCTACTTCGAGGTTTACACCAGCCGTACGCAATCGTAACATAGCCATCAATACAACCTTCTTAACGTACAGGTTGGTGTTGTTCTCATGGCTCCTGTGATGTTTAAACAAGCCAGTCGGTGTATTTGATATAATTTTTGGATCGCCGTTGTTTGTAGAACTTTCGGCCCCATGCAATGGCTCCGTACGTTAACATATGTCTTATTATTGCAGTGTAGATCCAGGTGACCACACGGGGTGAAAGTTCCCATGCGCGTCCCACTGTCCTCCGACATTGCTCATAAGCAACATACACTTTTTTGCTCTACTCTGTAGGTGAGAGTTCCATGTTAGCTTCTTGTCGAGGATACTACCAAGGTATTTCACATTTTTAGAGAAGTTTTGTTTGCTTTTGAAGAGTTCGGGATATGCAATTGTGTAGAATCCATTATTGTTGAGGTGATTATTCAGGGTATCCAGGGTATCCGAATGACCTCATGCCGAAAGGTTGTTGCACTCATCAATGTGGACATATTGCACCTTGAACATCGAAACAATGAACCGAAATCTGTTCCCTGTGCCATTAGAGGTACCGTAGAAGATGATCTACACGTACAATTCCAGCCTGGATGGCTACATGTTTGAACCTGTCCCATCCCATCCCACCCCATAGTATTTTTATTGAATTGAAGACATATATGAGATTTTTTTTGATTTTTTGCAAATAGGTATGTTAAAGAGTGAGGAATTGATGTATTAGAGAAAACGCTTTGAGGATACAACTTTGCTGGCGCGGTTATGATTCGTCTATTCGAAATTTCCCTTTGTTGCTTGATTAATGACTGCTCGCGATACCGTGTTTCGACGGTTACTTGCTCGAACTTCCAATATTCTACAAACTTTCACGGTTTTCCTTTGGAATTGCGAACAATTCCAAACAGTAAGAGCCGAACTTTTCCACCAGTTTGCTCTCTCCATTAATCCAGCTCAAGAGTTCTTATAAGAGTTGTGACAGATGGTGCTTACCGGCTTCATTGTTTATCCAGGCGAATCATTCGAACAATCGATTCCAATTGAATATTTGAGAGAATTGTTGGGAGAGGAGACCGGCGGCTTTGTACTTCTTTTCCAGAACACAACAGATTTGATAATATCATTCTCATATGACAAATGCATCAATGCAGTTTCGTATTTGATTGATGATGCATTCAACTGCAACTGTAAGCGCTGTCGTATTGTAGGTTCGTTACGGAGGTGTCAATATAATCCATCAATCGGTGAGTATTTAATGGTTAAATAGAGAATCAATGGTAATGATGATCTCAAACCTGTTCATGAGACGACATATGCTTACTTGGGAAAACAAGTGTTTCGAAAAAAATATATAATGGCACAGTGACCAGAATCTTTATGCTATTCGAGAAGCTTTAAATTTCAACAATTTGGTTACTCTAAATGCTGATGTCAAGGAAATGTAGATACGCTAAGTAAAGTAATACTGGAAATAATTCTCAGAAAATGGCTATTTTCCAGCACTATTGAAAAGACACTGAATTGCAGGTTGTTTCCTGCTTACGGAACAAAACTTCAGAGGGTGTTTCCTTAGCAATAAGGCGCTTATTTAGTCTTAGCTAGATAGAAATTATTGGGTCCAGTGGAGTCTCAGTGCACACGAGAGCCAACAATATTGGGAAAAAAAGTACACCACTGACTTGTTGTTTTTTTCATATCTAACTTCGTTTTCGAGAAAAAAAATTAAGCCACTTTCCATATCATGAATACTTGCTTTGAAGATCAGCTGACAGTGAGACAGTGATAGTGTTGTCATATCAGTGAAAGTTAGAGTTGTCAATCATCAGTGATTCCACCATGAATACTTTTACTAACACTATAAGGGCTGTCATGCACTTCATTTATTATGGATAAGCAAATGGAAATCCAAAAAAAGCACGGATAATTTAGCAGGAGAGATATCTTGACATAGTATTTCCATGTGCTGAAACATTTAGAACGCTTCATGTAAGATTATGTGAAATTGGAAGTTTCAATGAAAATGCAGGTGGTGGAAGACCAGAAACTGTAACAACACCTGAACTAGCTGAAGCTATACTTGATGCGATGAAAGAATATCCTTCAAGTAGTACCAGGAAGATTGCATTGCAGTTGGATGTCAGCCCAAAAACCATATGAACAGTTCAGCGGGTCCGAACTCTACTGCCTCGGGATTCTTGTTTACCATGTGGTTAAATCATGTGATGGCACACAATAATTTTTTACCAAATATTTTATTTACGGACGAAGCAAATTCGTGAACTTTCACAATGACCATTTTTGGGCCGACAAAAATCCCTAATTTATCAGAGAAAGTCATTTTCAGCAGCAATTTTTGTTGGAAGTTTGGGTAGTAATGATTGGGGACTACCTAATTGACCTATTTTTCTACCAGCAAGATTAACTAACAGGTGAATCCTACACGGATTCACTCATTTTGTTAGAAGAAGTCCCGGTACTTATAAGAGGCAACATGTGGTTTATGCACGACGGAGTTCTAGCTCATTTTAGTGTTCTTGCTCGTTAGCATCTTGACATCACCTACCCTCATCGCTGAATCTTCCAGGATTGACTCACTTCAAGGCGTTTATTCACCCTTCGAAGCTTGATATCAAACAGATGTTGGACTACACTAGGGATGAACTACGATGACTAACAGGCCTTCTTACAGGTCACTGTCATTTGAATCATAATATGCAGAGACTTGGACTGTCGGAAGACAGTGTGTGTCGACTTTGTTTGGAAAATGATGGAACAGCAGAGCATATACTTTGTGCCTGCCTCGCTGAGGACCGAATCAAGTTCTAAGAGTTCGGCAGAGCCGTACTCTTGCCATCTGACCTGAAAGACCACTCACCATACAAACTAATCGGCTTCGTTAACAAGCTGGGTTTATTTGGCTGAGTGTGAATAAGTGTGAGCCACAATAAACCCTTGCGGGTTGCGGTGACCTAACCTAATCCTAATCGCTGGATCGGAAGTGCAGGACCTCAAATTAACAGGCTCGCAGTCCTGTTATGAATCCTCTAGATTTCTATTTTTTTGATCATCTGGAGGGTCTTGTTTATAAAACTCCTGTAATAGATGTAAATGACTTCAGGAAGTGAATAATTGACGATTGCAATGTCATAAGGAATACACCAAGTATTTTGAACGTGTCAGATAATCAATGACAAATCGATTGCAGTCGTGTATTTTATCAGAAGGTGGACATTTGTTCATTAACTTCAAGGTCGAAATTGTTTATTATCTACTTTGGATTTTTATGTTATGTTGTTCATGGATAGTTTTTAGAAGTGATTCCATTATCTTGACAACGAAGCTTGAATTGAAGAAAACACATGCGACGAAAAAGTTTTTCAATCTAAAAAAAACTACACTGAGACGCAACTGGACCTAATAATTTCAATGCAATTCGGGCTAAATAAGCGCCTTATTACTTCAAATAACTGTAGCAAATTCCAAGCAAATCGATATAAGGATATTTATGATATTTCATAAATACCGTTTAAACTTCAAGGTCCTGTATCTCAGAAACGAAAAAAGCTGCAGACATATGTTCATAGGAACTTTTTTTCTTAAAACGACCTAACGAATCACCCTCTGAAGTTCCGTACGGCAGTTAGAAAACACCCTGTATATCCCTTTTCAGCTCACAGACAGGAAAAATTAGGAGTAACCTAATCTAATAAACTTCAAATCTCGAAACATTATTGGTATGTTCTGATCAGTTTCATCGTTTTCTTAATTTTGTATTTGTGATGCACTGTTAGGAAAATTTGGTGTAGTAATTAATATTACTGGAGTTTTATCTCAACACCAAACCGTTATTTTCAACATTTCGATACGTGTTTCGATCACCAAGTGAACATCTTCCTCTTGAAGATGATAAAACTCCAGTATAATTCATTTCCTTCATCTTGAGTTTTTTCTATAAGTAAACCTCTTCACGCAGTTTCCGACGAAATCAATATAACAGATTTTTTTTTTTTTTAAATCTGAGGTTCTAGAGTTTACATGCTACTACATTGTGACTTGGAAATGCGTGAATGCTATCGTTTCTGCTACTTGTTCTTTGCTGATTGTTGATTCATACCCAAGACTTGCTAATCAAATGTTCTTGAATTCACCTCAACTCGCATTAGCTGTGTTAATGTTCAATTAAACAATTCCTTCCTATCACATTTTACATGGAAACTTACTGAGAGAAATATTGTTCTGCTTCTGATGGTCCACCTGCCCGCGCAGCGCCCTCAGCTTGCGCAGCTTAAGCTCCTGCGCGTCAACGCGGTCGCGCAGCCGCCTCAGGCGCTCGCTTTCCGCCTGCACGCGCTGCTGCCGCTGCTCCTGTTCCTTGAGATAGCGCAGGCGCTGCTCTTTGGCGGCCAGCAGTTGGTGTTGCGACTCGATCTGCGCCTGCTGTCGGCACGCCATCTCGCGCAGCTCGCTCAGCGTCAACTGCACTCCGTCGGGTAGCTGAAAAAGAACAAGGCTAATCAGTCAAAGAGAACGTTTTCGTTGCTGTCTGCAGGGTAATATATTTCCAGAACTCTTGCACGGTCTGTCAATTATGATTTTCTGAAAACTTGCAGGGTTATTGAAGGAGTAGGTGGCAGGAAGTTCCGAAGTGAGTGGCTCCTACAAATCCTCCACGGCAACCGCCAGTGGTTTATTGTGGATCACACCCAGTGAAACTTAGATATTCAAACGTCAGCTTCTTCACGAAACTGTTAAACAAATTAGACTAGTCCTATGTTGCTGTATCGCTGCTGTTCCAATGTCTTGACAGAATCAGAATCAACGAACTTAGGCGTGCGCAGCGTTATAGAACAGTGCTTTAAAAAAACTTCTCTATGAAAAATTACTTATGCATGTCAAGTTTCATCACGATTGGTTGAGCGAGGTAGAAGTGTATCACTTACCAACCAACCAACCAACCAATCAACATCAATTTTTATATATTAGATTAGTTTATTTGGTAAGTAGTATATTAGAGTGGAAGTCAACTCTGCCTACGTTTGAGAAAATGATTTATTCAGTGGCAGAGAACGTACAGAGTATTTGCTCTGCAGTGTCAATATCTTTTGAACTGGGGCGACATTAACTGTCTCCCAATGGTCCAAGTCTCAACGACACGGACCTGTAAATAGAACTGTTAGACAACATAGGTCATTCCTGCTGTAGTCCAAATACCTGCTGGTCCTTCTTGAAGTCTAGGTGATTAGGGTTTGAAAGACAAAATCTAAAGTAATGCTAATGACAGGTACTGGTCCGATGAAACAGCTTGCAGTCAACAGTTTCCAGGCCCGTTTGACTTATAATCCAGACCATAAACAATTTATTGAGTATTCTTATTGGGATGGCCTTTTGAAGCAGTTCACTACCAACTTAGATATTGCTTGGTTAGAGCCAATTGCTTCTTAGTATTGAAGGGGTAGTAGGATATAGTGATCAGTAGATTCCTGTTTTTTACGACAATTCCTTGTCAGTTATAGCCGTGGTTTGTATTTTAGCGACTAGAGCGAAAACCGTTTATGAGATTAGAGTGACTTTTGTTATATGAATCATTCTAATAGCAGATGATTTTTGTAAGGCAGTACTTTTTCCTCAAGTTGATTTTTATGATCATTACCAGAAAGAACAAGAGAGCTTGAATCTTTTGTAGTTATGGTAATATAGAAGTGATCTATTATAAGTCAGGTGTTAAGGAATCGTATCATGAAGTTTATTTGGAAAGAAGTGAATAAAAGAAAATAATCGTTTTTTCTGTAGAAGACGTCATACTGACGAGCGGAATGATTCTTGTATACCTGATAACAGAATATACTGGCAAAATCGATAATTTCATGATTTGAAACAAGTTGGAACATTTCATTTTTTTTACTTCTTAAAAATTTCGAAATGAATGAAGTTTTTCATAACTTCGATATCTTTTTCATGTTTCAAAAAGTCGCAAACTGTTTTTCAGGAGGGTTTGATTTTCACTTTGTAGATTGTATTTTACAATCAGAGATAAAAAAATTACTTCTATATTTTCTGGAGATCAACTCTGAATGTTTTATTATCGAAAAGTTACAAAAAAATGTCTCTGTCAATGAAATCAATATTTAACAAGTCTCACCTTAATTGGTCCTAGAAAAGTGAGTTTCTTTGTGGAAAAATGCTTTTCTTAAATCGACCAAATAGTAGTTCATGTGCAAATACTTTTTTGTTGATTAGTTATTTGCGTGTTTTACGTCTTTCGGGGTATACGAAAGCGCTTTACTGTAATTTCAAAGAACCTTTTGAAATGGCGAAGTTTCTAATCAGTTTTTGAACTTCACGAACTTGTTAGTAGTTATTCTTGTCGTTGTCGACGCTTTACGGACAACGGAGTAGTTTCCTTAATTTCCTGCAGACTTCACGAGTTATACAGAAGCAAATGATATGAGTTTCTCGTGCTGACTCACTTGAATTGCAAAATACTGCTTCTACTGCGAAAATTTCATATAGAGTTTCAAACGGCATGGGCTTTGTTAAATTCTGATTCATTCGCATTGTGGTCATAGTGATTATTCAACAATTCGATCACATACAAATAGAATAGTTCCAATAAATCTGCCGCTTCTGATATATCGAAATTCTTAAACTGATTCAAGCTCATGCCAGTTTGATTTTCCCCCAAATTCATATGTAAATTTCATTCTCAAACAGGCAGTTTCCTTACTGTATGAGGCCCCCATTTCTATTCGAATACACTTCCAGACAGTGAGTTTCTTATGCAAAATTTGCTGACGTTGAGGACTTATATTTCATGTGAAGAATATGGTAACTCTCCACTTCCGATACACCGACAAAGAACGGAAAAGTTCAGAAAACAAAAAAGAATTTCTAAAACCAAATTTTTGCAGTGATTCGTGTTGGTTTCAGAGTCAAAACTTCAGATTGCAAAATAACGATGATCTCATTGAAACTGTTCAAGATAATATTTATATTGACTTACTCAATAAACCCTCATCATTGTCTAATATTTTCTTTTTCTGATTAGTATCGTTATTGAAAATTAAGAATTAAATGTACGCTGTCCGTTCAAAAAGTAAGGTGAATTTTTTCTCAAAAATATTGATTTATTCAATTTGTCCTTTTCAAAATAGTTCAAATATAATACACTTGTATAGTCGAAGTAAACGATATTGTGCACATTTAACGTTGGCGGCACTCTCAAAGGTCAAAAAACCAATACATAGAAATGAACCGGCTGCGAACTAGTCCACGTGAACTGTAGAATTTGCGGTTCGTATTGGATAATTTTTACTAACCAAGTTTTATGATTGGCTGAAGAGTTATGAAATTAAATTTGACGTCATGTTACGGTGACGAATAGAAATCGAGAAATGTGAGGATGGTTAACGCCGTGGTGTTCAGTTCAGGAACTGATCGCGATTTGAGAGTTGAAATACGATATCGGTGCAGTCATAATTACTTGAAATGTTTGTTATCTGTTTCAAATGTGGCATCCTTGGACAAGTAATAACGAGTGTGATAACAATACAGACTTTTTCCAGTGTAGTGATTCCAATGGCGATGGAGAACAATGCGAAAAAGAGATACCAGTGAATAAGATTCGGATGCATTTGAATATTGAATCACAGAGAGTATATTTCAATGTATATAAGAATCTACATCTGATACAGGATTACCAAAACCATTAGATTAGATGTTCATCTAATAAAATAATTGAAAAAACAATATACGACTGTTACAGAAGCAATGAGATTCCTACAACTGAAATCATAAGGAAGAAATTGAATACGTCCGGCCATAACGTGAGCTGCTGTGACAAAACTCTTCAGAATTGTACAAAGAAACTAGGAAATAGTAAAAAAACGTCAAGCAGCTATGTCATACTTAGAACAAATAACTAAATATAGAAAAGAACAACGGCAAATTTTCTATTTGGACGAAATTTGGTATGACTCTCACGAAACAGACGAAAGGTTGGACTGATGGTTCGAGAATGTGTAAGCCTAACATGCCTGCAAACAAAGAATCGCGACTCATTATTGTGCATTGCGGAGGAAGTAAAGGATGAGTTCCGAATTCTTTGAAATTATGTGGAAAAAAACTTGTTGACTATCTTAAGAATATGGAAGTTAATATTTCCGTGCAAATATGGATCGCCGTTGACGTAATTCAACAATTCCTGAGCGATGCTCAGTTTTTTTGGAATTTTGGAACGAACTTCGCTGCCACACGATTCATGCCTAAAATTTACGAAAAAATTGTATGGCATGAGCCAACCGATATGTCAACATCCTTAGCAACTTCTCTAATAATGATTCGACGATTCTCCATAACAACTTTTCTCACTTTCTCAACATGTTCATCAGCTTTTAATGTACTGAGGCGTCCGGCACATCGACATTCACGTTTTCTTGACCTTCTTTAAAGAGTTGGTAACACTTGTCAACATTTTTCTGAATCAGACTACAATCACCGTATGATACTGCCAACATTTCGACTATTTTGGTAAACTTGGTAACAGCCTTCCAAACAGTTTCACAAAAAATATGAATCCAAACTATGTTAGAATACCAATGAAAATATCTAAGAATTGTACAAATGGAAAGAATGATATTGTTACAAGCGGGCGAGTACGTCCCTGTGTATATTTACAATAATGTCGAAAGTAGGATGAAACATTGAAAACTGTTTTATTCAATAAGTTCTGAAGCCTAACGAGCTTGAAGAACAGTCTTCGCTTCGAGCAAGTCTGCTCTGAAATTAAGCGAATACACAATAACTGAAACAGACCAAGAACTTGGAATATTGGTAGAGATGACTGCCAACAAGAAATCGGGAAAGATATACATGGTGCCTCTTAATGACGTGCTAATATTTACACAGTTCCTCTCTGAGTCTGTTTTAATAAAACATTCTCATCGAGTTCAAAAAAAGGATTGCTTTCATGACAAAAGATATTTTTGTATAATATACTTCATTTTTGCATTTGCGTTCGTATCGTATTTTCATCGAATCATTTAAAAGAAATTGTGGAATTGGCCGCGGTGGTAGTGCGTCCGATTCACGATCGGAAGACCGTGGGTTCGATTCCTACCTCGACCAGATATTTTTCTAAAGATAATTTATCTGGTTGAAGCTGGGATGATTCTGCAACCGTGTTAGGAGTCACACGTTAAAAGGTAAGACCCCGTTAGTCCGTTAGAAGTTTCTCAACTTTTGAGAGTTGTCGTTCGTATGGTGGCGACAGCTGATTAACGGAAAAACAGATACATCACTGCTTTTCATCGATGTAAAAATCATTTATAGAATCCTCTTTCCTCTGACCTGTTAGCTTGTTTGTCGTCTGGCCTACGATTTTCGAATAAAAAATTGAATTTATTCATCTGCACATTTTTGAAAATGGCTATTACCATATATTTAAAACGTGTCTAGCGACACGTAAGACATTGATTTATTTGGTGAACATAAACGTT